CTGGACGTATTGAATTGAAGCTAAGGCATAATAATCGTATAACCAAACCGAACCGTGAAGCAAGTGTAGGTTCACACCCCTAGTAGATAAACTTAAAAATAGGGAAAACTAGTTACCATTATCGTAATCTCACCAGGAAACATTGTGGCCAATCAAACACAGCCTGGGTCATGCATATTAATGATCCTGTGTGGATCGTCAGAGTTTTAACATGGATTTTAAACTTGCATTATTTACATGAGACCGAGGAAACAATGGTGTGTGAGACTCACAGCATTTCATTTGCATGTTATAAACTCTTATTATTCAGTTTTACCTAGATAATTATATGTCACCTTTCTGTAACACATAGTTTAACTCATGTTATTATTCTTTTAGCTACCGATAGTGTAATGCATTCAACTTCACCAAACCAGTCACACCTGCATACTAGTCCATCTACACAAACTCATTTTGACGTTTAGTAAATTCTAAGAAATTTCTCTTTAGGTCACATTTCCACTAAAAATATGTAAAGCACATGCATGTTCATGTTAAAAGTACAAAGAGAGAACTCTTACCCCAGGCTGAGGAAGTTCAAACTTTGCAGGTGACCTACAAGAAGAAAGAAAACAAAAAATGAAGAATGCAAGTCATCCGGACCAAGCTTCACACACTCATACAACATTTACAAACACATGAATTATCAAACAGAGCTCCATTTTGAGATACATGCTAACGATCTTGTCAAAAACGGTTTGTAGCTTTGATTGGAGTTGTGTCTTTGAACACTTCATCACAGTGTGACTGAAATCTAGTTAGACTAATTAGTAAATGTCAACAAAGTGGTGTGTATGCAAAAACAGAGGGTGTGTGGGCTCTTTCAGCCACTCAGTTCACTTTTAAAGTGGTCTGAGGCTAATTAAAACTAGCTAGTGCAGCTCGTCTGACGCAGCATTCATGAACAGACAAGCCCCTTCATCACATTCATAACACACCCTTCAACCAGCACAAGCACAGCAACTGAACATTTTAATGCAATCACACTGAGGACATTGTCAAAACATTCCTGTGACACTGTCTGACATTGTTCACACACACACACACACCTTTGACCCCAGTCATGCTGTGATAACAAGAACAGGAGGATTTTCCTACTATTGACAAAATGGAGACTTGGCGTTCACAAAAGACTAATTATTTTCGTAAACTTCAGTTCCTAAATCTTTGTTCACACTGAGAATCTGAGTCATTAGGTTTCTGAGTCATCTGGGCTCTTCTGAAAATAGTAATCATAATAGTGACTAAAACCCTGCCTGTCAAACTAGCCTCAGTGCAGATGCATCATTTGCAAAGTGTCATTTTGTTTCATTTAATTTTGTACAAGCTGGGCATTTCATAAAGAGTTCCCTTACATTATGCCATATGTTTTGGACAAGTTCCAAACTTAAAACATATTGGAGAAATAGAATACAAACTATACATAAAATTGCTAATGTTAACCTTCTACCTGATCCAATATGTGTGCTACTGAGGGATGAATCAATTCATCAAAGGAAGAATTTACACTTGATTAAAATGGCTCTGATAACGGCAAAGGAAATGCATTGCTTTACGATCGAAATCAGTAGAACCACCAAGTCATATTGTGTGACCTAGAGAACTTTTGTCTTATGTTCCTGTTGAAAAAATAATGTTAAATCTTTAAAAAAAATCAATGTTTGAAAAGATGTAGGGCACATTTATTGAATACATTTATTGAATACATACAAATAATGATGAAAAAGTATGACTCTTCCTTGCTTTAATCTTTTTTTAATCATCTTTGTTTGTTTACTTCCTCTTAATTTACAAATCAGCTCCATGTTTCAGAGTTATGTCTATTTAAGTGTTCTGTCTTGTGAGGGTGGGACTGGGGGGGGGTGGTTAGAAAAGAATGTTCACATGTATACTGAAATGATTATGTAGGTTGTTGATGTGAAAATAATAAATATATTGATTTAAAAAGGAGAGACTTGCAGCTAATGCTAATTTGCTATTATGTAGACTACTGTACATATCCTCGTGCTGTTGTTCCAAACCTGCACGGCTTTGTTTCTTTTAGAAACACAATAGTAAAGGTTCTGCAAGGTAAACTATGCATTTTAAACCATTTCATCTGTTTGTTTCAGTTGACAGCAGCGAGACAGCATAACGGAAACATCATCTGAACGCTACGTGTCAGCGAGATTGTGGCTGATTCAAAACAACTCAGCTGACTCGAACGTCCAAATAAATGATGTCTAGATAGCCAGCTCGCTCGCGTAAAAGTCATATGACTTTTTAATTATGCACATATAGACAGTGGATAACTGGAATCAATAAACAAGCGATATCAACACTGTTGACAGCTTTGACAGCTGCAGCTCCATTCACATAACAGACATTAGATATCAAACTGGGGGGATAAAGGCAATATTTATTTTGAACATGACACTCACGCGTGGGGCGAGGGAGTGAAGTTGACATCCTCCGCCGCATC